ACCCGATTTTTAATGATTTTTCCAAGTTTCAGGTCAGATTTTCAAATCGGCAATTAACATAGCTACAGACCTTATTTTGATTTGAAATTTTTACACGACCTATATCATTATTAGAGGGTTATACAGTTTAAATTTCGCAGCAATCGGATGAGTATACGAATTTAGATGATTTTCGAATATTCAGCAACACTACACGATTCAAAAAATGCATAACTAATAAATAAATCAACAATTTCGTCTAAGGCCTTCATCATAAGACCAAAGACTTCAAGTGTTCCATAGATCCACAGCAAATAACACGATTTAACACAAGATCACATTCGAATGACACTAATAAATAAATCACGTGTAAAATCAATCGTATATTGAACCTAAACACGAGATCTCCCAACAAGGCATCAACACAAGGCATAAATATAGACTAAAATAATGAGAAGAAACAGCCTTGTACCGTTCTTGGGATAAATCGCACGAGAGAGGGATCGAAGGGCCGAGGGAGATCGCGGACGCGCGGGGAAACGGACTTGCGGGCGCTGGCGGCTTCGCGGGATGCCGGGGCGTCTCCTGCGCGTCTGCTGGGCACCGGGTGGCGACGGGGGGCGCGAACTGAGGCCTGGGGTGCTCGCGAGCGTGACGAGGTCACCTGCTGGTGTCGCTGGGCACTTGCGACAGTCGGAGGTGATCGCACGGTGGAGGGGAGGGCTGGTCCGGCCGAGAAAAAAAAGGGAGAGAGATAGAGAGAGAGGGATCGGAGAGAGAGAGAGAGAGGGGGAGGAAAAAGGCTGCGTAAAAAAAAGATGAGAGGAGAGGGATGATCTCTCCTATATATAAGGTTAGGGCTTTGTGACTTACCATACAAGTCACTTGCCAAAAAGATCAACACCACATAAAAGGGAGGAGGAAGAGGGGGCGCCGCCTAGGGCTTGGGCGCGGCTCCGGGCGCGCGGCTCGCGGGCTCGAACAAGTGCTCGGTTTAGACGAAAATTAAGTAATAATAAATAAAATATTTAAACATAATATTTAATATAATTAAAATACATTACCACAAATAATATTTATATAATGTACACAATTAGGCACATAATTTCATTTAAGCACTTAGAAAATTTAACAAATAATAAAAATAACAATAATAATAATAATAACAATAATCCAAATTATTCATAAACGAACGGGGCGTCACAGAACGCCCAGCTTAGTTGCAGCCCTTTGAGCTGTCGTGCGCTGCCTGAATGGTCGTAGCTTTAGATAGACGTACTCTCCTGGTACAAAATTTTCCTCATGCCTTTTTCAATCCGCGAAGGCTTTGGTTCGATTAATCGAGCCTTCGAGATTTTTCTTCAACTCTCTCAACATCAGATCTCGTTCCTCGAGTTCTCGACCAACTTTATCATTGACTGTACCTCCCTCTGAATAGTTGACTAATGTCGGGGGTTTACGCCCGTATACTAGCTCGAATGGCGTCATCTTGGTCGACTCGTGATATATGGTGTTGTACCAATACTCAGCCCAAGGCAAAAAGTTTTCCCACCTTTTCGGAAGTTGATGGACATAGCACCTTAAGTACTGCTAAAGAGTTCGGTTGGTTACCTCAGTCTGTCCGTCTGTCTGTGGGTGGTAGGCTGAGATCATAGATAACTTGGTCCCTTGTAACTTGAAGAACTCAGTCCAAAAACTGCTCATGAAAATCCGGTCTCGATCAGAAACGATAGATCTTGGTGCTCCGTGTAGTTTCATCATGTACTCCACAAATAGCCTGGCAATTGACTTCGCGGTGTAGGGGTGAGTGATGGATATGAAGTGAGCATACTTTGTGAGACGATCCACCACGACCATAACACCATCGAATCCATTAGAACTCGGTAACCCTTCTATGAAGTCGATAGTAATGTCCTCCCAGATTTCCTCGGGTACAGGTAGAGGTTGTAACAGCCCACTCGGTCGTCGTGAGTCAGCCTTAGTGCGCTGACAGTCGTCGCATCGTGCGATGTAGTCACGAACCGTATTCTGCTGTCCCGGCCAAAAGAAAGTATTGGCTATTTTCATCCATGTGCGATAGATACCCGAGTGGCCTCCAATCTTGGAATCGTGAAAGTGCTGCATGATCTGCTCGCGTAACTGCCCACTGTCGGGTACGAATACTCGGCCTCGGTGTAGAAGCAGGCCATTGTGCATCTCATAATCAATAGCAGTCGTCTTACCTGCTTCTATAGAGTGGCGCAACTGGTGGCAATAGGTGTCCTCCTCTTGCGCCTTCCTGATTTCTTCCCAAACAGTCCAAGCCGGTCCTGTGATAGCATTAAGCTCAGCTACATTAGTCTGCCTGGATAGTGCATCAGCTACTGCGTTCTGTCGGCCTGGCCGGTAGACTATCTCAAAGTCAAACCCCATGAGTTTGGAAACGAACTTCTACTGCTCGGGGGTAACAATCCTTTGCTCGAGTAGATGCTTGAGCGGCTGCTGGTCGGTCACAATCCGAAAGCGTCGCCCCAATAGATAAGGCCTCCAACACCTTACAGCCTCGACAACTGCAAGCATCTCCTTTACGTATACAGATAGACCCAATCGAGTAGTGCCTAATGCCTTGCTAAGGTAGGCTAAGGGTCGTCACTCTTGTACCAGCACTGCTCCAATCCCAATGTCACTCGCATCTGTGTGCACCTCGAACAAGACATCAAACCTCGGCATTGCAAGCACTGGCGTGGTAGTCATGGCGACCTTCAATTTCTCAAACGCTTTCTCGCTAGCTTCGGCCCACGTGAACCCTCCTTTCTTAGTCATCTCTGTCAGTGGCTTGGCGATGGTTCCGTAATCCTTTACAAACTTTCTGTAGTAGCCCGTAAGCCCTAGAAATCCCCTCAGCTGCGTGAGACTTGTCGGCTTAGGCCAGTCGACCATAGCCTCAATCTTGCGTGGGTCAACCTTCACTCCCTCGTGGGATATGAAATGCCCTAAATACTCAACCATCTTCTACCCGAATGAACACTTAGATGGCTTGATATGAAATGAGTTGGCCTCCAAGATTTCGAGCACCACTCTTAAGTGCTCAAGATTTTCAGCCCGCGTCTTTGAGTAAATCAGGATATCATCAAAAAATACCAGAAGAAACTTACGCAGATACTCCTTGAAGATGGAATTCATGGCAAACTGGAAAGTGGATGGGGCGTTGCATAGTCCGAATGGCATAACCAAATATTCATAGTGTCCCTGGTGCGTACGAAACGCTGTCTTCGGGATATCGGCCTTGTGGAGTCGAATCTGATGATAACCAGCTCTCAGGTCGAGCTTTGAGAAGTAACGTGATCCAGCTAACTCATCGAGCATGTCGTCGACACCCGGAATAGAAAATCGATCCTTGATAGTCGCGGCATTCAGAGCTTGATAGTCAGTACAGAACCTCCACGTTCCATCTTTCTTTTTAGCTAATAGTACTGGAGAAGAGAACGGACTCTTGTTATGCTGGATTAATCCAAACTCTAGCATCTCGTTCACTTGCCGTTCGATCTCGGTTTTCTGAAAGTGATCATACCTATAAGGGTGGACGTGTATGGCATGTTGCTCATTGATCAGTGGTATGCGATGATCGAACTCTCGGTGTGGTGGTAGTCCCTTAGGTTCGCCTAGTACTCCCTCAAACTCTTCGAGAAGATTGCGCACATCTCCCTGCTGTTGCTCGTCCTGGTCTATTTGGGCTTTAGTATTCTCAACCACTGCTGCAAAGATTTGGCCGCCACCTCGCCAAACTCTTTAGATGCTTTTCAGCCCTACTTTCTTGATACCTTTCTCGTTGCCAGCACTCAGAGTGACTTGTCGACCTCCAGAATTGAACTTCATAATTCCCGTTCGATAGTCGGTAGTCACCTTGCCCAACCCTTCGAGCCACTGTACTCCCAGAACCACATCCGGCCCAACCAAGGGTAAGGCATAAAGGTCAGCCTTAACGGTAACTCCGTTGAACTTGATTGGCAGCTTCCGGAATGACTCAGTACATTGTAGCCTCTCTCCATTGGCCACTCGAACTTCAAAGGGCTCGATTTTTGTGGTTGGCAACTTCAACTTTTGGGATAAATCAGTATTCTGAGCTTTTGTACTTTCGGTAATGCACAGACCTAGGAGTGTTCTTTTAATAGTTTCATTACCCGCGGGGTGAAGTTATGAGACGAACCGTTGTCTACGAGCACGATTACCCTTCAATCCTTGACCCATGCTGGTAGTCGCATCGTCCTTGGTCCTCTGATTCCAGCCATTGCATGCATCGAAATCTCTGGCTCCTCACTGAATGCTTCAATCTCATCCTCCTGATGTGGTTCCTCCTCGACCTCAGCTTCCTCATCGTCGGGGTTGGCCACCTCAATCACAAAGGCCTGCTTGCATTGATGACCTGGGGTAAACTTCTCTTCGCACTTAAAGCAGAGGCCTTTCTCACGTTGGCGTTTGACTTCCTCGAGGGATAGCCTCCTTACTACCGACACTGCTGGCCGAGCGCTGACGTTCGGCCGTGTGCTTGCCGTCGCCTGGCTTGGGCCTGTGCACCGCGTATCTGTGAAACGAGCATCCGCTCGTCCCCTTCGCGTCGCAACCAGGTGATCTTCTTGTCGTCGGGCAACCTCCATCGCGTCGTGCATGGTGTCGGGCTTCTCGAGCCGAACCTCTGCAGCTAGGTCAAATTTCAATCCTCCTACAAATGCTCCCACTAATGCATCTTCGGGCCAATCGCGCACGCGGCACGCCAACCATTCGAACTCTCTGATGTACTCGCGCAGGCTGCCTGTTTGCCTTATACGTGGGAGAGCCTCGTTGTAGTTATGGTAATCAAATGTACCGAACCGTGCAAGCAACTCTCTTTCAAAGATATCCCAAGTGATAATTTGTTGCCGCTTACAATAAACCCTTGTGAGCCATTGCCACCATACATTGGCCTCTCCATCGAGATAATAAGCTGCATACCTTACACGATCTGGACCGTCGGTTTCATTGAGCTCAAAATATTGCATTGCTCTGTTGAGCCATGCGTCTGGATCGCTGCCCGTGAATGTGGACAATGTGATGCGCGGCTTGTCGGGTGCACGTCGATCGCGATAGGTGGACGCCTGGGACTGCCGGTCGAAGTCATCCTCGCGCTCATACTCCTCGCACCGTTGATCCTCTCCTTCGGGCCGCTCGCGGTCGTGGTGTCGCGCATGATCGCGTTGCCGCAGCGGTGGTAGGCGTGCGAGCACCGTGCGCGCCATCTCCTCAAATCGCTGGTTCACGGTTTCCATCAAATCTTGCACCGTTGTCTTGGTATTGTCAAGTCCTTCGCCCAACGTATCGATAGCTTCGCTCATGCCTCGGAATTGGACATCGAGATTATCAATTTTATCCTTCATCTCTTTGTTGGCCATGGCTTTCCTTTCCTCTCTTCGCTCTTTGCTTTGCGGACTCGTGGTTGAGGATGAATATGATGATGAACGATATATATATTTTCTTTTTTATATATGAGGGGGACGAAAATTAGGAAAAGGAAAAGAAAGGGAATGGGGTAGAAGAAAAACACACGATCAACACCTCTCAATGAAAGCACCAATGATGAGGATCGTGTGTTTCGATTGCCGATAAGCCGCGAACCCGCGCCCTGAATCGTCGATAGGTGTTCTTCGAGCCACAACAGCGCCTCTTGGAACGAATAAAATTGCAATAGAATTTTGGTGAAAAACTAAAGCAAAGTGGAAGAACAAAAGTTCTGGATTTCTTATTAATTCTTGAATGATGAAAAATAACATGGGGGAGGCCCTTTATATAGGTACCAACTAGATCTAATCCTAATATAACTATAACTCTAAGAAAGCAATAAAATATTAAGTATCCTAATTAGCTAGATATCTTAATGCAACATGGAAACTAAATAACTAGGGATCTTGAACTTGTCTTGCACTCCAAGGAATCCCTCTCCCTCACTATTTCTCTTCGGCCGCCTCTTACACCGCCCGCGTGCCCTCGCCCTAGTCCTTGAGGACTAGGGCCGCCGACCTTGCTAGCGCGTGCTCGTGCGCTTGGCTTGCCGCGCACGCCTGTGCATTGGCGTCGACCTTGTGCGCGTCCCCACACGCCCGTCCACACTCCTCAAGGAATGCGGCCTCTTGCCCCGCGCGTGCATCTTAGTTCGGCCTCTTTGACTGAGGCCTCGCTCCCCGTGCACACATGCACGCCTTGTGCGTACCGCACGCCCCCATCCGCTGGTGTTCGCTTACCCTTCTCACTCGCTACTCGCGTGCCTGCGTTCTCGTCCGTTACCCGGCCATTTACGCTCGTCTCGCGCGCACTACACTCCAGTGCGCGCACTTTCGCTGTCCCTCGTGCTAACCTTCTGCGTGCGTGGTAAGCGCGACTCGCGGCGTTCTTGAGCTGCCTAGCCACTTCCGCATCACAACGCCCGTCCGCAACTTGCCTGCTATTCCTCGCACGCTCAGGAGAGCCGCAACACACGCCCGTGTTATCCCAGACGCCCAGCGCTAGTCCGCGTAGGCCTAGGAGTCCCAACGCACGTCCGCAACATGCACGCCAGCATTCACCCGCGCATCCCAGCAGTCCCGCGCGTACGCCCGTCGCCCGACGCGCCCCGCCAGTGATCCGCACGTCACACTAGCAGTCCGCGCACGCTGCCTGCGATCCGCGTACCCGCACGTTGTCCGCGCCCGACGCGCACGAGCTGCCCGCTGCACCCGACGACAGAGACCAAGCCATCGTGTGATCAAAGCTTCGTTTAACGTGTCGATTAGAATCGACTAAAGGCCAAACCTATCCGCCCATTAGGTTGTGGTGTTCAGACGAACTTCATCAACGGTACTCTACATCGTCTCAGAGTCGGCAAAAATTTTAAAAGGTAAACGTCCATATCCTAACTATAGATTCTGCTGCGTTAGGATTTATTTCGATAAGTTCAATACTGCATGTTGTTTGACGTTCCTAACTGAACCCAACGACTGGTATCAGAGCCCAGGCTTAATGCAAACTCGTGCACAGTTTGAATTTTGGACTTTGCCTGTCTACATGAATTATGTGCGTACGGACGCAGCGGCATAGTAGATTAGAAATTGCAATAAGTTTTTGCAGTTTTCGAATCCGACTATTGTGGCCCGTATGTATAGATTTTAATTCATGTTGAATGTATGCTATTTTTAAAGCCTTGGACATGTCAAGGAATTTTTGGGTTGGTGAATGCTTGTAATAAATTATTCGCGCGGTGGGACACCGTATAGTTTATTGCTTTCATAGAAACTCATGTACGGCTCCTGTGTGGGTCATATGATGAATTATGTAAATGTTGTTTATATTATTCGTTATTGATCCGGCGGGCGTGGACCAACCTTGACGGGGCGAGGCGATAAACACGTAAACGGATGCCATGGTGATGATCCCATGGCGACTTTCCCAGAGAGAACCAATTCAGTGGGAGTCACTGCGAAAGGGGAATTCCAATACCTGAAACGAAGGACACACTCAACAAAGACAGGACTGTGTTTTTTCCGTAACATTGGAGATTGATTAATGGCCATGATAGTTGGATTATAGTTCCTAGTTTATTATTGCTCATTAATAATGCATGTTTTATGTGATTGCTTATGTGCAAATACAAACATGTTTTCGAAAATCCCATAAAATAAAAATTATATTAAGTGTGTAATGGGTTGAAATAAATTACATCCAAGGCCTCCATTATAGGTTTTTCGGTGGAGTGATTTAATTCGAGCCCAAAGGACGTTTTATTTCACAGTTCACAAGGACGAATCTCCTTCGGGATGGTTATAGTGAGCTATTTCAAAAGCGTACGGGTCACCCAAAGGTGGACGTATAATTTTGGTAGTAAACTTAGTCCCAATTAATGGGTTACACTTAAAGTGTAAATAATTACAAGTCCCAAAGGATAAGATCGTTTTTATTCTTTTATAAAGTTAATTGCGCTGGCCAAAAGATGAAACCGACTATTAGTTAAGTATTGCTCGGCAGTATGTTAAGCTAATGTGATTTATCCCTCCTCTTGCGAATGTTTGAACCGTAGACGTCCACACTCTGTGGCCTGCGGGGATTCGGTGTTTTGAGGTGTTGGTGAATTTATTTGAATATTGTTACATGGGATCAATATTTGATTTATAAATTCAAAACTACTTTACTGAGTAAAGACTATGTTTGCACGATCCCAGGAATTCAAAATGTCTTTCAATCCGTTGTCCGTAATTCTGAAAGAAAACAAACTTGTTGGTCCCAATTATATTGACTGGAAAAGGAACTTGGATATTGTGTTAACTGCTGAAGGGTACAAATTTGCTACTGTTGAGGCTTGTCCGGCTGTGCCTGCTGACAATGCACCAGACCAAGAGAAAGAGGAGTATGCTCGGTGGAAAAAGGCTGACGAGATGGCGAAGTGTTACATCTTGCCATCTTTGTCAAATGTACTTCAACATCAACATCAGTCTATGAACACTGCAGCAGAGATGCTTCTCAATCTCAAGGAGTTATTTGGTCATCAGTCGCAGGCTGCCCGACAAGAAGCCATGAGGGTTCTGATGAACATTACCATGAGCTTGGGCACTCCCGTAAGGGAACATGTTCTTGCTATGATGGCCCAGCTGAATGAGCTGGAGGTTCTTGGGGCTTTTATTGATGGGGAAACCCATGTCGATATAGTGCTCCAGTCTTTGCCGAAGAGCTACGAGCAATTCCTGTTGAATTACAACATGAATAAGATGTTGATGACTCTTCCGGAACTAGTCTCTGAACTTCAGTCGGCAGAGGGCCTGTTTCGTCAGAAGACCCAAGTTGTGGTGGCCCAGCGGGGAGAAGCTTCCACTTCTTAGGCTCCTAAGGGCAAGAAGAGGAAGAAGTCCGCAGGAAAGGGCAAGGCGGTCATGACTGACGCGCAACCTCGACAAAAAGCGAAGAAGCCGAAAGGCAAGTGCCACAATTGCCAGCAGAAAGGACACTGGAAGGCAAACTGCCCTTTTCCCAAGAAGTCCGATAAAGGTACACCTTTTGCTTTAGTCGTTGAAACATGTTTAGCGGTGTTATCTACCAGTACCTGGTGTGTAGATACAAGGGCCACTGATCATGTCTGCAATTCATTGCAGGGGTTCCAGGAAACCAAGGGACTTAGGGAAGGAGAAGTTACCATCTACTTTGGCGATGCTAGTAGAGCGTCAGCAGTTGCAGTGGCAGACGTCTATTTAGATTTTGGCTTAGATAGGTTTCTAGTTTTGAAAGATTGTCTTTATGTTCCTTCTTTTAGAAAGAATTTGATTTCAGTTTCTAAGTTGTTTATGAACGGTTTTCCGCTACATTTGATAATAAAGTTGTTATTCGTTTTGGCAAAAAGTTCATATGTTCTGGTTCATTAGTTGACAATCTATACATTCTAGAATCTAAGTCATCTCCACTGCAACAGAAACAACTACTTAATTCATCATCTAATCTAAATAAGAGAAATGAACCTTCTAAGATGAACGAAACATATCTTTAGCATCTAAGACTTGGTCATATTAACCTTAGGAGGATTCAAAGGTTGGTAGCAGACGGGCCCTTGGGGTCGTTAGAAGTCGAGGCTTTTCCAACTTGTGAGTCTTGCTTGGAAGGTAAAATGACTAAGAGGTTTTTTAGTTCAAAGGGGCATAGAGCCGAAGATGCGTTAGGCCTAGTTCATTCCGATCTATGTGGTCCTATGAGTATTTAAGCGAGAGGTGGTTTCGAGTACTTCGTTAGATTTATCGATGATTACTCGAGATATGGGTACATTTTTCTTCTGCACCGCAAGTCTGAATGCTTTGAGAAGTTCTTAAAGTATAAGGCAGTTGTGGAGAAGCAGTTAGGAAAAAGTATCAAGTCATTACGATCAGATCGTGGTGGCGAATATCTCTCGAATGAATTTAGGAGCTACTTGACGGATAATGGGTTTACGTCCCAGCTGACTGCGCCTGGCACCCTCAGCAGAATGGCACAGTAGAACGGAGGAACATGACTCTTATGGA